GCCTTCAAAATGAAGACATAAATCCTGAGGATGACGTTGTAACATCGAAACATGTAGAGTCATAAACTTTTTGAAGGCCATAGATAGGCCTAAATAAAATGTTTTTAATTGTTTACCAGTTTAACGTTGAATATTATTTACGATTTTATATACTTTAGTGTTTGGAAATATATACCAAAGTTGCATACTAAACCGTGACACCATTCTTCACAAAATAAGCTTTCATTCTTCTTTTAAAAAATGCTCGAAAGTACACCAGAATATTCAGATAAAAAAAATGTAGTAATCTCTAACAGATTGTATTAAAACAGATAAAAACATTTCTTAAACCTGACTTTAAAGTTAGATATCATACAAAATAATTTCTATTTGCAGTAAAAACCTATTAGTATGAATGATCGGCACTTGTATAAAAGTTAAAAAAAATTTAATGTTTATTTGTGCACAATAAACCCAATATTAATTGAAAGTTTCTTTTTATTTATCTATTTCATTATTAACCTAATACAAGTTTTAAATGTTCAGATGTTCCAGAGGAACATTTCATTCAGTACACTTGTACTTATTATCTTATCAAACCCTTCCTGCCAGACAGTGGTACTCACCTCAGCTAGCCTCTTAGCTGTGCTGATGGAAGTAGACTTCTGTTCTCCATAATCTTCCAGCTTCCTAGACATGCTGCGGTTCTCAGAAATAAGATCAAACAGTTCTTCATCAGGCATGTTAGCTGCCTAGTTCATCAAGAATTAGGACAACAGATATATTAACAGCACAAACATCTGACCAAAGATTCACCTTATACAAGTAGTATCACAAATATGAGGTTACAAAATAGTTGACGAGTCCAGCCATAAAAACATGACAAAAAATAAATTGTCATTCAAAGTATAAAACCTTTAAATGTGATTTTTTAATGTACTAATTTCTTACCATTATAATATTTGAAACATAAAATATTAACCTAGCTCTGTTTACTTCAGAAATCTGTCTCTTCTTGTTGTTTGATGACAAACAAGAAAGTCTTTAAATTAAATCCTTCAGATTAATGTTCTGAATAAAAGTTATTATGAATGTTATTAATTGTTTAATCCCATTTACTGGCTCTTAAGTTTCAAATCTTGCATGCTTCCTTACACTACAGTATCATGATATCAACGTGATTCCATACACTACAGTATCATGATATCAATGTGCTTCCTTACACAACAGTATCATGATATCAACGTGCTTCCATACACTACAGTATCATGATATCAACATGCTTCCTTACACAACAGTATCATTATATCAACGTGCTTCCTTACACAACAGTATCATAATATCAACGTGCTTCCATACACTACAGTATCATGATATCAACGTGCTTCCATACGCAACAGTATCATGATATCAACGTGCTTCCATACGCAACAGTATCATGATATCAACGTGCTTCCATACACTACAGTATCATGATATCAACGTGCTTCCATACACAACAGTATCATGATATCAACGTGCTTCCTTACACAACAGTATTAAGCTAACATGATTCCATACACAACAGTATCATGTTATCAACATGATTCCATACACTACAGTA